TACTGTAATTTGGTATTCTCTTAGGAGATTTAACGAAAACGTGCATTTCATACAATAAAGATTAAAAGTGACATTAATTTTTTTATTAGATTTTTGTTAAAATTAGTAATATTAAGTCCATTAAAATTAGTAATATTAAGTTCATTAATAAGAGAAGGAAAAAACCAAGACTGCTTAACGGATTTTAAAACACAATGGGTATTTTTCCTCTGCATGAATTTAAATCCAATTAAAATCAGTCAATATCACTCAAAAAAATTATTTAAATATTGATAATTAAATCGAAATACCATTAATGCATTTTTAAATAAATATAGTGCACCAATGAAAATTCGCTTGAGAATCATCGAATATTCATTGGTTATAAGAACTCATTTAAATGACGAACTATTTTTGCAAATACGAACCCGAATTTGAAGCACTTCGGGTTACTAGTTGTGATGAAAATTCTACATCTTTTTCCACACTTTTTTTGCTGGGCCCAGCAAAAAATAATTGATGTCATACTTTACAAACTACATCCCAGCAAAAAAAGTGTGGAAAAAGATGTAGAATTTTCATCACAACTAGTAACCCGAAGTGCTTCAAATTCGGGTGTAAAACCTATGAATTTTACATTAGCGTGTCATTGGAGGGATGTTGTTCATTTTTGGCAGCTTTGAACTACATCTGATCTTATTTTTAGAAGCAGTAAAAATCCGATATTTGGATGTCAAAAATAAAACACATTCTCTTAATGACACGCTTATGTAAATTTCACAACTCTTTCACCAAATCTTGATGTACTTCAAATATGTTATTTGTAATGACTTTTCCACATCTCTTTCCTCACTTTTAACTGGGGTGTCATTTATAAGGAAATATTTGGTTTATAAAAGTGAAAAATATGAAATCGCATTTTAAGATGTGATTAAGATGTAGTTTGTAAAGTATGACATCAATTATTTTTTGCTGGGATCTTAATCACATCTTAAAATAAACCCAATATTTCCTTACAAATGAAACCCCAGTTAAAAGTGAGGAAGGAGATGTTGAAAAGTCAATACAAATAACCTATTTGAAGTACATCAAGATTTGGTGAAAGAGTACTGAAATTTACATAAGCGTGTCATTAAGAGAATGTGTTTTATTTTTGACATCCAAATATCGGATTTTTACTGCTTCTAAAAATAAGAAAGTTGCCAAAAATGAACAACATCCCCCCAATGACACGCTAATGTAAAATTCATAGGTTTTACACCCGAATTTGAAGCACTTCGGGTTACTAGTTGTGATGAAAATACTACATCTTTTTCCACACTTTTTTTGCTGGGAGAGTACAAAATGTCATGGGAATGCAGACCTATTGTCCAGATTACCTTACAAGGAAGATGTTGAGTTTGAAACATCAATTGAAGTTAATGAAATTAACGTTGAATAGCAATTTGACAATTTCCCTTTTGATTTTAATGCAATTGCAAAATTTTCTAAAGAAGACAATAATTTAACAAATGTTTTAAATTTTATACAAAATGGATAAGTCGTTCTCTGAAGAATTACTACAATATTACCGTCATCGTAATAGCTTGACATTTAAAGGTGATGTTATAATTTTACAAAATAATTGTAATCGTGTCGTGATTCCTAAACGCCTGAGATAACGTATTCTAAAACTTTTAAATCAAGGACATTTTGGGATAGTTAGAATGAAACAAATTGCGAGACGTTATTGTTGGTGGCCGAAAATTGATGAGGATATAGCTGAAATCGTGTCGTCATGTCAAGCTTGTTATTCACATTCAACAAATCCATCAAAACAGTTTTCTCCCCGTCAAATTCGTTTAAATAAATCGCTATATAACCATAATTTAACAAATTTTTCCCAATTAGCTCCTTCATTATTAGAGTCAGTTCAACCATCACAACAAAGTTTTCAAACTTTTGAAAACTTACAACAAAATATTGAAAATTGTCAAAATCCAAGTGATGTAGTGAATGATCCTACAGCCTTAATGGATGAAATTCCATCGGATGAAATTCTATCGGTATTAATGCCTGATCGTTACACTCCTTATTTACCATGTTTTAAATTATACGAGGAGGAAACGTTATGTTTTTACTTTTAATAATTTTGTATAAAAACATACATTCATTGAAATTAATAATTTTGTTTTAATGTAATTAACTTTTAATAAACTTATAACTATTTGATTTTGTAAAATATTATATTTGCTTGAATTGAAAAATATTTTACAAAATTTAGCCAATTCGTAACGAATTAAAGTCAAAAATGAATTATTAATTTACAGCTCTGAACTACAGTTATTGGTATTTCAGCGTTATCGGTATTTTGGCTTATTTCGGAAACGGAGTTTTAGAGCTGACTGAAATAATTATAAATAAATATGTTAGTAAATGCTCACTGCATTAAGCAAACTTTTAAAACATATGTATTTGAAATTATTGTATTAAACTATTTTCTTAATTCTCTTTTAAATTTGTGTTAATGTCCACAAATTTTGTTTCAGCGAAAGAGAAAAATCGGCAGCACAAGCACTTTGGTTAATTTCGATATTTTAGCGATAATAACGGTATTCAGGCTTATTTCGTTATTGGTATTTTATCGGTAACGGTAGAACGACTGAAAAGGTGTTTTAGCATTATCGATAGCTTAGCAATAACAGTATAAAATAAAGCTACCATATTCATTTGATACTTCAATGAAAAAAAAAAAAATAAAAACATGAAGCTTATTTCAAAAAAGGAGAGCCAACATTTTTTAAATCATGGTTCTTTTTCTTTTATGTGTCATTCAACATCGAGTGATAGTTAGAGGCATAGAAAAGCTATACATAGAACTGAAACTGAGTATGACAAAACCTAAGTCTGCTGTCAAAAACCTAAGTCGTGAGAATGTATTAGTTGAAAAATATGTAACCCAACAAACACAAACTCTTTCGTTTAAAAAGTTTTTATATTTTTGTTTGATATTATATTTCGATATTTTATGAAATAATGGTTTGAATTAGCCATTTTTATTCAATATCAGTTGACCAATGTAAGAAAGATCTTCATTAAAAATTATTTTTAATTTTAAATAAACTCTTTGTGGTTGCTGGGTTGAGTCAATATTGACACTTAAAAATAATATTAAAAAAATAAAAACGATTGAAAAATTTGTTTTTTTCTGAAAATGTTTTCAATAATTTTATGGGAAAAACATAACCTTTAGCAGTGTTTATTGCAGCAGCAGGGGCTATTTTGCCAAAGAAATTGTGCTAATGCTAAAATTAACGCTTGATATGAACGATTATTGTTAATTTCAAAGCAGCCCAAATGCAGTCAAAATACACCCTACACCACACTAATGGGAACGGTATTTTGTTTACGTCTTAAAGTTTGTAACACCTGCGTCGATGTAATGATGTAATCCGCCCATAAATTAGCCTATTGAACTTTTTTGTAAGCGGTACATGCTATACAAGAATAGGGTATTTATAAAATTCGACTCAACAAATTTTATATATACGAAATTTTGACTATATATTGTTATAATGAGCAGTACATTCATTAATTAAGCAAACATCAATCTCTTGAATATAACTTCTACATTAAAAAATACTAAATAACTTATTGCTACTTACTCGCAATGTGGTAGGGTATGATGTATTCGGATACATTTTGTACTTTCATATTTTTGTTATTTTATGTAAACAAAAATAAAAATACTCATACAATTGTATTAAATTCACACAAAACCTGTACATGTGAGAGAGTAATATTTCTTATTCTCAGTTTCAGTTCTATTTATTTTTCTATGGTTAGAGGGAAAAAAGACTTAAATTATGGTTTATATAATGTCTGATCAATAACAAAAAATGTTTACAATACATCACAAATTGTTTTTGTATTTCAATACAAATTTCAAATATTTTTGAGAAAATTAGTAACAACCCAGCGGTAAATGAAACAAAGTACTTAGATAATATTCGATGACATCAGTATGACGTTCTAAGCGAGCAATCTAAGTACTTACAGTGCAATGTATGCGTAATCCAACATATCATGCACTTTAATTATAACATAGATTACGATTTAAGCAGAGAGTTAGCTGCCTTCTACATGTTGTTTTTTGTTTTTATTTCTTAAAAAAAAAAACAGAACTAAAGTACCGTTTTATTTTTCTTTTGTATACTACATGAAAAGAAGAATCTTTTTGTTTCAGTTTAAAGTTGATCTTTTGTAAGTGAAGTTGTGTTTTGTTAAAAAAGTTATTTTATTGTAAAAATCTAAAATAATTGTGGTGATCCAAATGGCAGAAACGGACTTAAAAATTAGGGTAAATTTACTTCATATATTCTAGTTTTAATACTGACAATTTCCTCTTGATTATTTACAGGATCTCTAAAGGAAGATGACCGAAAGTTTCAAAAGAAAATTAAGATTCATTTCATTTATCTTCGTTAAAATTGTTTAATTATATTTTTATTGAATTAACTATAATACATGTTTATTATTTGATGATCATTTTTAAATAAACTTGCATAATTTTAAAATAAATATAAAAAGTATATATTTTTTCTATAACAAAATCGGAAAACATGGTACTTTAACTTACAGATGCAAATAGGATTGTAATCTACATACATTACATTCTTATTTGCAAGCGTTTATAGGCGTCTCATTAACTTCGCTTAGAACTCCACACATTATGTAAGTGAAATTTTAATTTGTCTTAATGATATTGTGGCTTACATTCTAAGCGAGAGCACATCGATGAGGTAGCCTAGGACACTTTTATGTTAAATCTAAGTGAAAGAATAAGTGAAAGCATCACCACTGATTGCCACGAAATATCACTTAGATAAGCGAATACATAATGTGTATTTTTACCGCTGGGAACTTTTAGTTATTGAACAGACATATAGTTGAAAATTTAAAAACAGCTCAATATTTTGCCGGCGTACAGTCAATTTAAAGCCGCCGAACTAAATTTTAAGTGTCAGACGCAGTCACTGTTAATGTTTGTCGGCGCAGGTCTTTGCATCATAGTCGTCGTTCGTCAGCCCTGGTGAATTTTGTGCATTGAATTTTAAGCATTTAATTAATAAAAAAATAAATAAAAACTTTATTAAACAGATATATAAACTATAAATTTGATGGAAATCATTGAAAATTTAATGTAACAGTTAAATCGAGTGTTTATTGCTCTAAGCAAAGTTGTGTAAAAATACGTTCTATTCGTGAGATTTTCATACAAAACGAAGAAGAATATGAAATGGCAAAATTAAGCAATGTATAAAAAAATTGAAAGAAAAAATTGTCAAAGTGTGGTGTTTTAGTGGTAATAGAAATTCCATAAATTAAATAAAGAAAAAAACTGGAAAACGTAAATTGAAATAGCATATGTAATCATCATAGAAATAATAAATTAATTGAGACGTATATATAATTGTTTAATAATTATGTTAATAAAAATCCATAAATGAAAAAATATTTTTTCTTATTTTGCTAAAATAAAAAGTGCATTTAAAAAAATTGTAAATATTTTCAACTTTTCGAAGAAAAAATTAAGCCCCTCAATAAGAAAATAAGTGCAAAATGAAGAATGACGTGTTTTGGCTGCTAGAGTGTGACAAATAGAGTGCATGTGTTGTGACCCCTACTTGAAAAAATATATATTGGCAAGGAAATATATACATATATATGTAAATTTCAAATAACTATTTGATTAATAATATCATCTATCGATAAAAATAGCTAAATGATAAATATTACTTAGCAAACAAAATAATAAATACCACAATTTGTTAACAAAAAAAATCAAATATTGTAAAAAAGAAAAAAATATTTACAAATTTTTATATGTACAGTGTTGCCAAGTTCAGAATAATTCTTTGATTTTAATTGTAATACGACACCTTTTCAAAAATAAAAAGTAAAAAGGTAGTAGACACCCTTTTATGAAAAATCAACAGGAAAGTAACGATAAAATTACACTATTTTATTGAAATTATTAAATTGTGTTTGGCAATTACAATTTTTATATTTGTATGCACAACTGAAAATCAATTAGCATTACATTTCCAATAGTAATATTTGAATTGAAAATACTTTGTAACCTATTGGAAATATTAAAAGGGTCATTAAAAAAAAAATGATATGAAATATCTTACATATTATTAAACTTGAAATCAAAGTTATATTTTTTGACAAAAATTATTATGAACAGTAAGCTTAAATAAAAAAATCGTTTGAGAAAAATATTTATTACCAAACCTAAAAAAGTATAAAACCGAAGTTAATGATTTACAAGGGGAAATACTAAATGTAACGATTCTAAGGAAGTGGCAATAAAATTTACTCCCTTAAAATACAACTCTGACTTGGCAGCTTTATAAAGTGTTTTCTCACGCAATTATTTGCACATATACATGTTATATTATTTGTCTCACTCTTGCAGCCTGCAATTTCATATGCGGTCGTTTTTTATTACTGCAGAATTGAAATGGCGAACATATTTTGACAAGTCGTCAGAAAAAACATCGTCCTGTGTTTTCTTTGCAATATAGAGTGTTGAAAAAATTTTCTTTTGCGAAAAAAGTTAAATTTATATATAAATATTGCAAAGTCGTATTGTAATAATGAAATTTTTAAATATTTGTATGTCTAATATATGAAAAGAAAACTTTTGCAGACGTGCATATATATAAAAAGAAACCCGAAAAGGTGCTACAAAAAATCGACGTCTGAGAAAAAAAATAAATTGTTGAACATAACGAAGTTGTAAAAAAGTTATTAAAACGTTAAATCTTTTAATATAATTTAATTTTAATTATTATTTTTATCCGGATAGAGACGAAATACGAGTTGAAATTACTCCAATTTTTCCATAGGTGTATTAAAAAAGAAAGAAAAAAACAAAAAAACAACGAGGTCGTTTAATGCAGACTGACTATTCATTGGAATCACATGAAGAAAAAAACTTATACTGCATTATATGAAAGTTCGATAATTTTGCCGGTTATATATACATATACTGAAATAAGCATTACTCAATAGTCCATTAACAAAGCAGTTAAACAAAGTGTTGTCTCTTTGCTGGCTTCTTTTTTGATCGTTTCATTAATTGATCCTAAGTTGTTGAAGAACAGTTCAATTTAATGGCATTTGTTGAAATATCACACCTACTGACTGCGTCACCGCCGCTGCTGCTGACACCATCGTTGTTGCTGCTGTCGCTGTGTTCTTTTTTTGTTCACAAAGATGAACAATGAAAGTATTAGATCGCCTAAAATTAGTACAACAGTTTCAACTACGTCTACAAACAATAATTACTCTACAGGCAATACCAGCAGTAGTACGACAACAACAGCAACATCATTTTCATCAATATCATCATCGCCATCATTGCCGTTGTCATCTTTTTCATCTTTAGCACCACTATCGTATTCAACCTCAACACAATTTACTGTCAGCGCTATAGCTGCAGTGGTCAATGCAAGTAACCACTTGCCCGTTACTACGCCCCCCAACGCTGCTGCTGCAGTTGTCGCCGTTGCAGTTTCTTCATTAGCTGCAGCCATAATTCCTGATACACCAATTGTATCGATTGCAGGTTCGACTTTAAGTGAAATTACAACAACAACAACATCAACGAAAACTACACCAACTCCTGTACCCACAAGCAAGGAGACAGATAGAAGCAACAACAACAGTAACAGCAACGACACTTTGAATAGTAATAGCAATAAAAATACAAATAGTAAAGATTTACAAAATAAAACACAGCCTTCGTCATCATCTTCCACTGAACACCCATCATCGTTATCATATTCAACATCAAGAGCATCCGCAAAGGGTTTAAATTCAATGTCGGTTGCCAATTCATCTGTTACGGGCGCATTAACGAACGCCTCAACTACGGCTGCTAATGCTGCTGCAGCTGAAATTGAAAATAATACTGTCAGCACGAAGCAGACAAAAGACAATTTAACCGGTAGTACTGTAAAGGGGTCTTCTTCCACAACCAGCAGCGGGCCAACAATTATCAAATCTAATTCATTGCCAACAGCAACAGAATCGAAATCAATAGCAGCAACAACTTCGTCAAATTCATCGTCTTCACAGCCAGTAGTTGTTAATACTACCGCTTCTGCAAGCAAAACTGATGATATCAATGTCACACCTAATGAAACTAAATCAAAGGTAGGTCTATTCTATGTTTGATCCAAATTTTTATTTGTACAATCATTTATTTCATTGCACGCCCATATTTGGGTGAAATCGAACATTGAAACTCATCAGATACACACAGTTGTGTGATTTTTTATTATTGTATTATAAAGAGAATTTTTTATAAGCAACTTCATTCTATGTCTGTCTTGTCCTGCCCCTTTTAATATTGTTGTTTTATGCTTAACTGCTTGAAAAGGTCATAAACAAAAACAACAGTCGGCAATATCAAAATATAATTGTTGCTGTTAATTTCTTTTTTTAACTGTAAAACTAATATTTGGCAGCTGTTTGAAAGAAAAACTTGATTATATTAGTCATTTTACTCAATGTGTTTAAATATGAAGCATTTTATACTTTTCTTCTTGAAAGAAAATAACAAGTGAAAGGATTTCTGATTCATTGATATATTAACTAAAACACATGCCTGTTAACAGCACAAAAAATTATTAGATCGTATCGCTACAGATAAACTTAACCCTCTAATGCTCTTGGTCACTAAAAATGTGTATTTATTGCTTTTAATTATTTTTTTGTATTATAAATTTATGAATAATGTAATGTTGAGAAGAAATCAAACTGCTTGGGTATTGATTGTTCATAGAAATACATATATAAATACATACTTAGTTTGTATGAAAGTTTTGATACCGTTCTATTATTGAAAAACAAAATATAATTTTATTTTTGTTAGATCAATATTTAACAGATTGTTTATTATGGTACATAACTTAAAAATATTTTTGCACTTGTTAATTAGTTCTGCTTTTCGATATAAAGTTTTTTTTATATTCAGAAAAATCATTTTCTGAAAAACAGTATTTTTGCATATGTTTCCTATATTAAAGAGGCAGCGTGATAAACGTCAGATTATTGATTAAGCCCCTTTTACATTATACCACAAGTAATATGATGTGTAAAAATTTTTGTTTTGTTTCGCTGGTCTAAACGTAATATGTAATAAAGCGATCACACATTAGAGAATGCGAATACAAAATTTTACAGTCGTATGACTCTTTTTATTTTTTTGAAATGATTCTAAAAACAAAAATGTTCCATTTGATAACGGATGTATTTTTATGTAAACACATACAAAACAAAATGAAACAGCTGTTTCCATCTTACTTTGTTATTGTGTTCGACTTACGACTTTTATTATCTTTTTTTGAATACGAATGGAATTTCATTTGCGACCACGAATAATAAGCAGATTCTCTTTTTTATGGAAAATGAAAAAAAGGTTAAGCTACAACACTTATTTCAGTCGTTTTTAAGTTCAATTTCTACAATGATTGTATTCTATAACGGGTTTTAATTCATTTAAAATAACAGAAAATTCCTCTGTTAGGAGTTTGTACCACATGCGGTAATTCATTGTGCATTCCATTGACCAATTGACCGCAGCTGGTATAGTGTTATTGAAAAATATTGGGTATCGCGAGTATCGGTAACTAGTTCCTCAATTTTATAGAAACACATGTACTGACATGTTCGGATATAAGTGGTGCAGATAATAAGAAGATCAGATAGTGCGAAGTATTCTTCTTTAGAACCTTAAAAGATGTGTTTAGTTCTGCGGAAATCTCAAAGTATTCTCATGACTAGAACATGAATATTTACATCGGCGAACGGGAACCACCACTTTGCTTTTGCCAAAATGACACCGCTTTTTCGAAAGAACAATTTCTCCAAAGGCCTTACTGGCGGTCGAAAATTGTTAGACTCTAAATATGTACAATGTACATTGTACATACCTAACAAAATGATAGTTTACCATACTTTCCATAACTTTAAAATGTACAAAATAAATTTGTATTGGGCGTTAATACAGCCAAAAATGCAGGAAATTCGGCAGAATGAAATGCTGTCACTTCTTCAAGACTAGTAAGGGAATATCTTTTGACCCAGGAGACTTATATATTTGTTACTTGTAATTGAAGTTTTTTTGTCAAAATCTATACCGAACGTTTAGTCGAATAGGCTTTTAATGATCAAGAACAGGATAATATTTAGGAACCACCTGCGTCCCCAGAGAAATATATCAGAATAGCACTGATATTTGAGTTATTCTATAGGTAGGTAGGTAGGTTGATTATGGTCTACCTTAAAAATGTAATAAAAGAGTATTTAAAATCATTTAATAAATTAAGATTTTTCTATTGCCTAAATTCCGATAAACGTCTTAAAATGTAAAAATATTTCATAGAATTTTACTCATTAAAATATAAACGATTATATTGCAGCCTATAATTCTATGAAAGAGATGACTTTAATACTAACTTCTTCGCCTCTGGTATTATGAATTTGTAACACGCAGTTTACATCTCTCACACACGTTAAAATTTTGCACAAAACAGAACCAGAGAAACAAAAGCAAAAGTAGAATTTCAAATAAACACACATGAAAAAAGAAATCGCATATGCATACCGTTAGAGTTTAATATACTTGCTTTTAGTCGCTTATTTTAGTCAGTCGAAAAAACAAATTATAATTTGTGTATAGTACAGTTCAGAAAAAAAGACTAGAAATAAATTAATAAAAAAATTTTAAATAATAAACTATCGAAAACCAACACAAGTTCTTAAAGACTACATTTAAATAAATATTGCTAGTGTGTAATACAAGACAATAATACTAACTTGTTTGTTTATAATCTCCTACTTATTAGAATTTTATGAAATTTATACTTTTGTAAAAGGAAACGTGTTTAAGTTCAATTTTATATTTTTGTATAAAAAAAAATCAACTAATCTAATTATCCAATAGAAATCCTTATTTGGTGTACGCACTTAAATTTTTGGTAAATTATTATTTTTTTTCATAGAATTCGTTGCAAATCAAAAAAATATCCAAAGTAACGGTATAGTCCAAAAAGGAAAAAAAGTAAAGAATAAAACTGAAGTTGTGTTTTGTATTTTTTGTTTAATGTAACATTTATAACCTTGAACTAAATACATATACAGCCTTTAATAGTTAATTAGAAAGGCAAATTTACATTTATTGAAAAAAACCCAATATGATTTTATTGCTATTTTTATTATAAATTTACTTTGCCATTGTACAAATCAATTGTCTCCAAAGTATTTTGTTTCCCTTGTGGCAGTTTTAATGTAATTGAGTGATAATAATAAATCTTTCCTTTTCTAATTAGATTTTGTTTTGGAATAATTCAAATAAAATTTAGAACCAATTGGGTTTAATAAGATTTATTGTATATCAGAAATTAATTGAAATATTTTGCAATTTCTACAACAAACAAAAATATAAATTTTCTATATCAATAACATTGTTTTAATCTTTACCTCGATTCTATATTACTTTCTTTACGAAAACTGTGAAAAAGTTAATGGATATCATTAGAAAAATAAATTGAGAAACATTGGTAGATCTATTTAAGTCCTACTTCAAATTGCACAAAAACTATTTATTTTAAGACATTAATGTCGAATTGTTCGATCTGTTATGGACCCCATAAAATAAATTTCGAAACGATCGATCCATAATGACTTAAGTCTTAAATTCATTTTATATTAGTTACATAAAATACGACAAAGAAGTAGTAGTCACTTCATTAGCACTTTTGATCCCCTTGTCTTATTCTATTAGTCAGAGGACCATGTGCTGAGTTGTTGCTGTTGTTGTAACAGCTAAAACTATACAATAATCTAGTACATGTCCAGGCCTAAAAATTGTGCTACTTCAACTGGATGTGTCCATAAATCCATTGGACAAATATGTGGTGGATATCATGGGTACCTTGACCTCATGCTGGACATTCGAACTACTCCTGTTTTCCGTAGTAGGTTTTCTTTTGAGTCTGCTATGGGCGGTGGGCCACCTCCAAGTACAACAATTATGCGTTATCCTGCGAATTGATGGCGACACTATGAATATCGTTCAAATATATTGGATCCTGCATATAACTGCGTTTGCTCTCCTCGTATATACGAAGATCCTTCCCGACATGCCTCGGGCGAGTATCCAACTGTGAGATGTTAAAGTTGGGATGACTCCTCATATAACATACCAGGAGGAACTGTTTAGTCAACATGACATTGTGTTTCTTGATTGGGAGGATTTTCGTTTCCTCGTGTCCGGGATTTAATTAAATTCTGACACGGATTAAAAGGGTGCGAAGCAGCAATACCGGAAAATGTTATTCCGCTGTAGAAAATTGTATTGTTGTTGCTGGGGTTGACAGCCCTTCGCCGAATAATTCTGGTTATTCCGGTACGTAGAGCCGGCTGTCGGGGAATGACCTTGTGCTTAGTGTTACTCTCTGCTTCCAAAAGTAAACAATCCGGATTCATTGATAAAGCTTAGGACATTCTCAAGATTTATCTTATGTACAAAAGTTATGCTCTTTGTATATGTAGACTAATAACATAGTAGATAGGACACTGTCTCATTTTACACTTAATTATGACAACTTTTGTAGTAGTCATTGTATTCAAGACCGAGTCTTCTGGCATGGCGGTCAATGTCATAGAGCCCTTAAATTACTGAGTCTTTACCTAGAAGCATGTGAATTTATTGAACCACCAGATTTGAACATATCCATACTGTTTAATTTGAACGTGACCCATATTATCAACTCCCCATTTTTAACTAAAAAACGGGTAAATGAGTAAAAAAAAAATTCTGCTAAAGCCCAATGACTGTGAAAAGTCTTGAATGTACTATATAAGAATTGACAGCATTCTTGCTTAATTCGCAAATTATTCAACAGTTATAGGTTAAGGTTTCGAAAGAATTTAAAATTTGTTATTTTTAATAAAAACAAAATGCTATTTATCTTGATAAATACGTATCTGGGGATCAATTTACTTCTTGTTGTTATATATTGTTTTTATATGTATTTGTTAAAAAATTAAATTCAACATAAATTGATTACTTTTCCAGATACTGATACTGTGTTGTCCATTCCAAAAAAATGATTTTAGAAGATAGCTTATGTTGCATGTAATTAATAGGTACATACAGTGGTGGCTACGATTTTAGCACACTTGGTATATGTTGCCTATAACATAAAATATTTCCTATAGTTCTTAACTTTTTTAACAAATTCTTTTTTATGCGTAACACATGTCCTTCGAGGATCACGACACATTACATTTTGTTCCACTACTTTGTTGCATGTAGATTTTTTTCTTTCCAAAGTACATCTACCCCCAAAAAAATCTGGACATAAGTTTAGCACAAAATTAAAAAATCATTAAAAAATTAAAAATAAAACAAAACAACCGGTTATATTTATCTTATTGCACTTAAGATTTTATATTTTGTGGAATAGTTGCAGATTTTGATAATATCATTCCTCCTCCTGGACATAATCTTCACCAGAACCCTCTAGAAATTTCAGCCCATAAATTGGCAAAATTCTTGGTGATTTCTGCTTTTATTTGTTGGTCCATATCATGTTATATGTTCTCTATTGAATTGGAATCGAGAAAATATACTGGGCACTGCAAACATGACAATCCCGGTCGCTTCCAAGCAGCTCATCTCAGCACTTTTAGCACATTTACGGTCGATGTCGACCAAAAAACGCCATCTTTGTCCTCCGATTTTTTAATAAAGTATTTAAGATCCTATTTTGATAGTCATACGGATCCACTTCTGCATCCAACATCAATATAGGACCAACAGCATGCCAAGAAAATGCAATGAATACCATGAAATTTCCCCCCATTGTGATATATGATTTCTCTGGAACACTTTAGCTTTATCTGCATGATTGGAGGATACTAGTTGAAGATTAATAGGATCAAATTTGATGGAAAAATGTAATTATGCTGTACTCCAAACATGCAGCAACAACCAAAGTGTACATTTAAAACCATAAAACACAATGGGTGAAATATGACGAATTCGGATGCGTTTTCCGGGCTAGTGGAGGTTCTATACGCAAGGTGGATGCACAAATGGATCAGTATGACTATCAAAATAGACTCTTAAATATTTTAGTAAAAAAATGAGTGGACAAAAGTTCAGTTAAATGGCGTTTTTTGGTCGACAATGACCCAAAATATGTTAAAAGTACAGAGAGGAGCTTCTTGGAAGCGAGCGAGATTGACATGTTTGCAGCCCCCAGAATAATTTCTAGATCCCAATCCAATAGGGAACATATTAAACGAAATGGTGCAACAAATAAAACACAAATTCCTAAGAATTTTGCCTATTTATGGGCTGAAAGTTAAAATTTATGTCATGAAATTTCTAGTGGGTTCTGGTGAAGATTATGTCAAGGAGAAGAAATGATATTATCAAAATGTGCAACTATTCTACAAAATATAAAATTTTAAGTGAAATTACATAAAATTATCCAGTTTCTTTGCTTTATTTTTAATTTTTTAATGATTTTTTTATTTTGTGCTAAACTTATGTCCAGATTTTTTTCGGGGTAGATGTACTTTGGAAAGAAAGAAATCTATCTGCAACAAAGTAGTGGAACAAAATGTAATGTGTCGTGATCCTCGAAGGACATGTGTTACGCATAAAAAAGAATTTGTTAAAAAAGTTAAGAACTATAGGAAATATTTGATTTTATATTTAACAGATACCAAATGTGCTAACCTCATGGCCACTACTGTATACATATGTATTTGTTATTGATTTTTTTTTCATTTACTACCAGACTGGCATAACTCCAAATAGGAAATAGGGCTTGTTGCAATTTTCAAAATGTTGCAATAAGCGATCACAAGATTTTCATTTAATTTTTAACAGAGTTGCACTTAACGCAACCCTTTTAAAAAAAGTTAATAAAATGACTGCAATGTTAAAGAATCGCAAATCGATCAGTTGCTATAATAGGTAGTTGCGCACAACTCTAATCTCTGCTGCAAAAAGTTAAAAGAATGAAAAAAATTTTAATAAAAATCTACTTCGGCTTCTAAATCCAAATATTCTTTTATTTTAATTTTTAAGGACTTTTTATCTGAATCATGGGAAGAGAGCCGCCTAAAAGATTGGGATGACAGCAAACTCAAAGAATTATTAGATGAAGCCTATTCCTACAAAAATCCTAGAGATAAAGAAAATAAAAGTAAAACATTTTTGGTAAGTAAAAACCTAGATATTAAAAATTAATTAGAGTAGGATATGAAATATGTATACATATGAATAATGAAATTATCATATCAATAAAGTATATTTTATTTAAATAAATTTTGTTGACATTTTTTTTTACTTTAACGTTTAATTGTATCGCCCAGCAATTACTTGAAAAGGCAGAAAATGAGGATCAATCATATCCTTTCCGTGTAACTTCACGTGGATCGCGCAATTTATCCAATTCAATAACGTCCAACAGTTATCATCATTATCAACAGAGCCATAATCATAATCGTTCTCATCATCACCATAAGCAGGGTGGATCTCTGCAAGATCTCTTAGAAATCGGTTTACATGAATCACAATTGGATTACGATCAAACATTTGGTATTGGCATCAGTGGCAATCAGCGCACACGTCGACAAAATCACAACTCAAGACAGAAAAAATACTCCTCGTCAGTGTCATCACGACAACGTGAAGGTGGTAGTTTGCCAAGTAACGTTAATGTAACGCATCAATTGAGCGTTGGCGGCAGTGGTGGTGTCGTTAATGATTTAGGTTTAATGCAGCAAGAAGGAGGGACTCCAGGAACTGCCACTTCATCGACTACTGGCAAAGTTAACAAAAAAGAACAACGGCGCAACGCTTCAAAAGCTGCATCTACGACTACGGCTGGTAGTACTGAAATAAAAGAAAACCCCTCTTCAAGTAGTGTTGGAGAATCTGCTGTTACTACTTCGGAAAATACAACAACCACCGCAAATTCCGCATTTACTGCTTCTGGTGGTGATTTTATCATTGACATGGGGGAACCCATGATGGATATACAGCAACAACAGAAAATACTACAATGCAAGGGTCAAGATCCAGCCACACAGGTATTTTTTTTCAAAATTAATAATTTCTTTTTATTTTGTACTTATATTTTTTCTTTCTTAAGGGACATTCATTTTACGAACGTTTAGCCAATACTGACAAACGTATACCTAGAGCCAATATTGGTTCAAAGAAGGGCACTAATTTTACTCCGACTACTTCACAGGTGTATGTCGATGAAACGGTACGTTTCAATGCATTGGAACAGAATGGTGGCACAAACAATGGTCCAACTTCATCACAAATCGATGCAAAATTTTTACCCTTAGACGAAAATTACAAATCCTGCAAATCTGTTTTAGGTAGCAATGGTGATAAATCACCAGAAATGCTTGCCAAATCAAATTCGGTATGTGCTTTAGACTAACTAGCATTCAGTGTCAATTACAATTATGTAACTATGTATGTATTTGAATTTTTAGATTTATACAAAAATATCTTCACCTGCCTCTGCTGGTTCCGCTGTTTTGACTGGGACCACAAACAATATTACAACCTTGACACAACGTCAACTTGATGAGAATGGTAATGCTCTCAGTGAATTGTATCAGAATTCCTCCGGTGCTGGTTCAGGCTCTGGGGCAACAATACAAATAAATGCTGTCTCACCTACAGCTGCTAATGCGTCTGCCGCTTTATTGAATTCTTGCGGCAATGTATCGACCTCAGCCACTGTAACCATATCGCCACATACCGCATCAACCACAGTCTCAACGTCGGCTACAGTTACTACAACATTTACCTCTGGACCTTCGCAGGCGAAGGCTAAAGCTAAGAAAAAGTCTCAACAGGAACGCAATACGAAAACTGTAGATGTTGAGTCCGTAGCCGGCTATCGAGGAAAAGATCCAGTTGAAGAATTGGTCAAATATATCGAAAGTAGTGGAGAGGATAAACAAGCAGGTTCAGGCTCTAAGTCGGGCGATAAGAAAAAGGAACGCAAAAAGGACAAGGAAAAGCACCAAAAACTTAAGAAAAGTAATTCTCTGGAAGAATTACGCAGCGGTGCTAAAATGGAAGTACATGAACTTAAGAGAACTGCAGCCACAACTGAAAGTAATGCTGTACTGGTACGACAAAAAAGTGGTGGTGCTGGTGGCGGTAAACAGAATAAAAATAATTCATCTTCTACGGCTGACATCAACAAGAATTTAGAGGGGAAAAACACAACACAAACAGCAACAAATTCTCGTAAATCCGATCGCAGATCGTGGGGAAATGAAGACTTGAAATATTTGGAAGATCAGCAGAATGCAAATTTAACAAACGAAGAGAAAACAGCCACTGCTGCTACTTCAGCATCAGCTAAAGAACGTAAAAGTAAAGTGGCTGGTGGTTGCTTGCCAACGTCTTCAAAGGAAGAAAAGGAAATGAAAGACAAAACTAATGAACGTAACGAACGTAATTTGGTCAATAACGTTACGCTCACACCTACAATACAAATTGACAAATCTGATAAATTGGAAAAAATCGAAAAAGCTGAGAAATTGGAAAAATCGGACAAATGTGAGAAGAGTGAAAATAAATTGGAGAAATCGGAAAAACGTAAGAAACAAGATATTCCACCAAATGCTGTTACTGTGGTCGATATTCTAGCCATAGAATCAGTACTACCAGAAACTGCCGAATTTCACGTTGTTACCAAGAAGAAAAAACCCAAAAAACAAAAGGTGATCAACAATTTAGAGGAAACTACCGTCACTTTCAATCGTACGCACAACTTTACCATGCAAAAAACAACAACATTTAATCAACAACAGCAACAAATGACTGTTCGTTACAAATATTATCACCATGATAATTCATCGAACACTGGTATTTCAAATACAAATACCAGCAGTCAAAATAATCATCAACAGCCATCATCACAGCAGCAGCAGCAGTCAAGCAATTTTAACTCGAATGCTGTTGGTGCAATCAATTCTCATCATCACCAGCAGCACCAAAATCAGCAACAACCACAACAACAGCAACATAATTCAACTGAAAGTTATACTAATACTACAGATAAGTCTAGACGTAAATCAACTTCATCCGTGCCACCTTCAGAAAAATCTGATTCAAGTGATCTCGATTCGGTTCATTCATTACCAATTGAATCATCCAATAAAGCAAATAATATAGCTGTAGCAACAACAACTTCGAATACGACCAAGGGAGGAGGAGGAGGAGGAAATACGCAGCAAAGAACAAAAGGTGCTAAAAACAATAATAACAATGCAATTTTGGGAAATAGTAATCCTAAAAATCACAATTCACCGGCTCCAATTTCATATGCAGATATTGCAAGAACTAATAAAGAAATTGCTGATGCTGCTGCCGCATCTGCTTCTGGTATTTTAATAAACAATAATGAAATGTCCACTGAATGCAGAAATGCTGACACTCTTGTACACAATGCAATGACAACAACAGAATCACTTAATACCGACGATAAGCCTGCGGCTATTGTCAATCCCACGACAACAACGGCAGCCACAGCAGCAAGTGCAGCTACAAAATCACACAAAGTTAAGAAATCGCAAATTAAACAAGATTTCCCTGAATTGGCCGGCACGTCTTCAGCTGCTCTCGCTGACGAAAAGATTCCTAGTACGAATGTAAATCATAAGACTATAACGTATTCTCAAAGTTTAACTGCTGTAACAAATCCTACACAAAACACTATATCAACTCAAAGTCATGCTGCAGTTGGTGGTGGTGCTGGTGGTTTTAGTTCGGGCAGCGATTCTTCGCCTTCTTCCTCTGACATTAATACCAAAGCCTCGCCAACAGAGCTGCATAAAAATTTAATAGTACATCAACATGCCAATATTCCTCCATTGCAACATCCACAGCAGCAGATTTTGCAAAAATCCAAAAGTGTTGAAAACGATTCCATTATTTCTTCCACGAATTCTTCGTCATCGTCTTCATCTTCTTCTGCCATTTATATGGCTTCGTTGAATAGTAACAACTTAGATCAGCAATATCCTGCCCTAGAGAAAACAGTCAAACGTCATAGTTCAGCCAATGTAACAATGATTGGAACGGCGGCGAATACGACCAACCAGACGCCATTTAATTTTGCGGCAGCTGCTAAGCAACAAATTGCAGCAAATGTCTCTGAACAGCATAATATAAATTCAAATAAAAACTCAGCCTTAACTACCTCAAATACTAACAATAACAGCAACACAATACAAGCGGCATTATTAAATAGCACCAGCTCTAACATAAACGCTAACAGCAACAGTGGAAACACCACTAACAACACTAATAAAAAATCCAAAGAAAAAACTCCACCATTACTTTCATCGACAAGTAATCCAACTGCTGTAGCAACCACACAGCAACAAGTCAGCCAAGATAATAATGCGACTTCAACAACAGCAGCAACATCGACAACAAATCCCAAAAAATCTAAAAAAGAACGTCAACAGCAGCATCAGCTGCAACAAAGTTCTTTGGACAGCTCTCAATTGAAACAAAATCAAAATAACCCCAACACTGTAGCTAATAAAAAGCCATTAAAAGCACAGTTGAAGTCTTCAAACTCATTGCCTCTGGGTTTGGCATCGTCAATATCATCATCATCTGTGACTGCTGCCAGTGGAGCCAGTACTACGGCGTTAGTTAATCGTCCTGCTGTTATCATACTTAACGATGATCGCAACCCTGTTAGCTGCACCGCAGACAATCAATTCACATTTGGCGACTTCAATGAAGAAGAATTAAAATTATTTGACGATGACAATAATTCTGCTGCTACTGCTGTTGAAAATCCCATTGATAATAACGATATTAATGTAAATCAAACGCAAGATGAGGACGAGGAGAAACACCAGCACACTGGTAATAACGATACAGTAATAAAGTCACCACAATCCACAATGTATTTCAATGATTCTGGAGCCTCGTGTAGCAATGACATGGTGAATAATTCAACTTCAGACATGTTATTAAGTTCAAGCATTGATGCGTCGTCTCCCAATACATCATTCGTTGCCAATAGTCACGGCAATAATGGTGGAGGAGCTGTACATATGCCAGCGCCCAGTAATAATCAGTCCAGTGATAGCGGTATCTACACCGATAAAACAAAGTCATCCAATAGCAGTTGTAGTAACAGCAGTAGTAGTGGCGTAGCAGGCAGCAGTGTTGTTTCAGCAAAACAAAAACAAAAGCAACAAATGTCGCCAACAAAGGAGGAAAATAAACTAAACACTTTCCTCTCGAATACCAGATGTGCTAGTGTTCATACATCAATGGATAATTTAGATCCACCACTACCACCGCCACAACAATTAGAGACATGCAATGATATCGAGACTGCTATTATTGCGGCAGCTCGTGCAGCTGCTAAACATCAACAACCGCCACCAACGCACCATAACCAGCAGCAGCAACAACAATATAAAAATTCAAATACTTCATCAAATTCTAGTTCCTTCTCATCATCTTCAATTTCCTCATCAACAACGTCATCTGCATACCAACAGCACCATCAGCATCAACACCACAACAGTAATATTAATAGTAATAAAAATTATCAAAATCAATACGGCAGTGGCAGTAGCAGTGGCAATGTCATGTCATATCATCAGTCCCAACAACAATACGATGAAGACTATGATGATAACGATGATGATTCCTTTGCCAATAATACTCCACGTAGCCGCAGTCCTAGTCGTCCAAGACGTATTTCCATTGCAGGCGGTACAGTGGCCAACAAAGAGTTTGACATTCATTTTATACCGCCCACAACAATGCCAACAGCATTTAGTACGCAACAACATAATGACATCATTATTGATTTTATTGGTTCTGGTAAGTGTAATACAAAATTATTTCAATTATAAACAATTAAGAGTTACAGGGCCGAGCTTTACAGAAAATAAATGAATTATATCGCTATTTATTTGTTTGTTTGAGTTTTAAGATTATTTGGCTTCAATCTTAGACTCACATTGTCAACTCAAATTTTCCAGTACGACTGGTTAGAATATAAAATTGTGTTTTGTTTGGCCCTCCACCATAATAAAAATGTTTAGGTTATTGCATATAGTCAATGTGTAATCTTTGATAAACCTCAACTCGGCACAGTTATACGACGCCAGACATTTGGCCAATGTGTTTTGAAACGTAAAATTCTCGAAGGCGGAGAAAGAAGGCACTTCATTTATTTGATTTTTCTCTCTCTTTTCAGCATGGGAAGAAGTCGCAAATAGCAAAGTTACAAAGGTCTACGATGGACAATAAATTTATTAAATAAATATGCTGCAGCAGCATTATCACTAGTATTGTAATACATATTTCCTCCATCTCAATATCAACCTGTTTTTTTTTTTTTTGTAAACGCTATGTTTGGACTTTAAAACAGCCGCCTCCTAACGACAAAAATCAAGCAATTAACAAACAAAGTAGAAGAGAAATAGTTTTTTTTTTTAACAAAAGAACCGTAAACATTTTTTACGAATTTTTTGTATAATTTAGGCAACAAAACAGACAACGCAGAGTCAGTCGCAGTCTGTCTAAAACAAAACAAAAAATAAATGTATAAAGCAGCAGAGCACAGGAACAAAAAATGAGGAAAAAGCATTAACATTAAAAAGCAACAAGCGTATGTATAATTTTATTTTTAAATAGTATTAAAATAAACAAAATTAAAAATTAAAGAAAAAAAAAAACATAAAGAAATTATAATAAAATTAAATATTGAAAACAAAAAAGAAAAAAAAAAAAGAATTAAACTAAATAAACTAAGAAAGAAATAGAAGATTATAGAGCTGAGACACAAGAATTAGATGTAAAACGTATTTTTTTTGTTTAGTTTTCTCATAACATTTTCTTTTTAAATCTTAATTTTACCACTTATTTTATTTAAATTAATAAAAAAAAAATAATAATCCATTTTATATTTTAATGTTATTAAATTCGGATGCAGTCATGAAATAAAAGAAAAAAGAAACCAATTGTTTTTTAAATATATTATTTAAACTAATGAAACCAACTTATTTTATTTTTTGTTTTGTTAATGTTTTTGTGTTATCATTGTGAAGACAACTCCAGGTATTTTGATATTTAAACAGGTTATTAAAATATTCATATTAGAAGCCAAGCGTTTGTTAAGTTTTTCCTCTAAAAGTATAGAAAAATGGTTCACATGTTATCTAAAAGATAATATTTATTAAACAAATTAAATGTTTTTTCTTTTTAAAGATTTAAAAAAATTACAAAACATGTTTTTAAACTTGTTTATATCGAAACTTAATTGCTTTAGTCCCATTATCTCAACCTACGATTGTTGTTTAACCGGTAGATATTCTGAAAACTGTATGTTACGATAAAAATGATAAGAAAACAAGAAAATTAGAGTTATATTATGTTAATGTATCTAATTATTCTTAAAATCCCGTCAAAGTTACAAGTTTTTATTTCAGATTTGTAGTTTCTGACAAAGAGTCATTGCATTCGCTAACGTCTAACCATCTGGTTATCTTTAATTCGACTTGTACTCTTTGTAAACGAGAGTGAAGACAGTCTTCAATTTAGCCTTTGTATGCGAGAGCGGAGGCTATCAATCGCCACTTTACAGTCCATACGTAATCTAGGTAGTGGATGTTTAAAACTCAAACTTAAGCAAATATGTTCATTGCCATGCATTGACTCCTTTGGACTAGTCTCTTTGTAATCTATGGATTGATGGTCTACTTCCTTGAAGGACACAAGCACATGTTATAACTGGGTAGTTAGTGGCTAGGGGCAACCTTAAGTGGTAGGGTAAATAGATAGTTCGAGACTGACCCTCTGAACTGCTGGGTCTTACATTGATTAGATGTGTGTGTGTGTTCTTTTTCAATTAAAATAAATATAGAATACGAAGAAATGATCTAAGAATGAATGAATTCCCTCTGTCGTTAATCCGATCGATAAAATATTGTAAATAATTCTCAGCTCTTATTATTGTGAATGCTATAAAATGTTTCTTCGTGTGAAAAGCTCAGTACTACTCGCGATGGAAGTTTTTATGGATTTTTTTTTTATTTTATCACCAAAAAACGTAAATGGATAAAACTGAATTATAATAATTTATGATTTGAAGATATGTGATATGTTTTAGTATCAAATTTTCGATAGGTTCTCTTTAAGCAGCTTGCTTGGGTCCATTTATGATTAATTCCATTGTAATAAATTGAGTGCTTTTGAAGAAAATAAAAACACAGTTGTCAAATTAGTTCTGTTAGAACGTTTAACCAATGTTAATATCTGCTGCTTTGAATACATGATTAAGAGCCGAGTTATGATTTGAAGATAAGTGATAGGTTTAGTGTTTTCTCTTTAAGCAGCTCACTTGGGTCCATTTATGATTAATTGCATTGTAATACCCAGATATTCTCGATAGAAGCGATACGAAAACAAAGCAATTACTTTGTAATTCGTAAGCAAAAATGTTTGAATTTGTTATACGAATCGGAATACGAAATAATGCACTAAAGTTTGCATTAACAAGTACAAAAGTAAAAGAGAAATGATGCATTAGTCCAAAATCACTTTACCGGAGTATTATAGCAGAAACATTTATCTTAATTTCTATTAAAAAGCAATCAATTTTAAAAAGTTTTCACAAAATTAAGGCAGTACAAATGGAATTTTAAATTAAATTTTTAAGATATGTTTTGTAAAATTACAAATTATTATTTCGTTGGTTAAAAAGCTGCCTCATCGCAATTGATAAAACTTTTTTAACATGAAATAATCTCTCTTCACATGAATCAAAATTTTCCTATCTGAACTTTCTTCGTTGTCGACTCAGCAAATACGAACAACATCTACTATTGTGAATGAACTTAAATTAAATGACAGAAAATGTCTATTTAAGCAAACGGTTAAATCCATAGAGAAACAGTTAAATCCATGTTTGTTCATAATAGAGGTGAATGGCGGCTATAATCTTCCGGTTGATACAACTGTTACTAAATTGACAATGTTTCCGATTAAGAATAGGGTCTTTGCTTAACTTATGTAGAATTATTATAATTACCTGGTTATTATTGTCTTCTTAAGAAATGTATACTTTTAAAGTACCCAAGCTTTTTTATTTAATTGTATTTCGTAAGATTAAATAGAGGGATGCAATTCTTTTGCTCGGAGAGAATTTTTATTTTTATTTTAAAATTTAAAATCTAAATTATAAAACTACCTCTGAGTTATTTATCGAACCCCGGTCAGGCAAGGATTGAATTGAAATTTTGAAAAGAGTACCTTTTTAGGCTAAAACTTAAACTAAACTAGACTATAGACTAGATTTAGACTAGACTATAGACTAGACTATAGACTAGACTATAGACTAGACTATAGACTAGACTATAGACTAGACTATAGACTAGACTATAGACTAGACTATAGACTAGACTATAGACTAGACTATAGACTAGACTATAGACTAGACTATAGACTAGACTATAGACTAGACTATAGACTAGACTATAGACTAGACTATAGACTAGACTATAGACTAGACTATAGACTAGACTATAGACTAGACTATAGACTAGACTATAGACTAGACTATAGACTAGACTATAGACTAGACTATAGACTAGACTATAGACTAGACTATAGACTAGACTATAGACTAGACTATAGACTAGACTATAGACTAGACTATAGACTAGACTATAGACTAGACTATAGACTAGACTATAGACTAGACTATAGACTAGACTATAGACTAGACTATAGACTAGACTATAGACTAGACTATAGACTAGACTATAGACTAGACTATAGACTAGACTATAGACTAGACTATAGACTAGACTATAGACTAGACTATAGACTAGACTATAGACTAGACTATAGACTAGACTATAGACTAGACTATAGACTAGACTATAGACTACACTATAGACTAGACTATAGACTAGTCTATAGACTAAACTATAGACTAAACTATAGACTAGTCTATAGACTAGACTATACAATTGGCTATAAACTAGATTATAGGATACACTATAGACTCGACTATAGACTAGAGTATACTATAGACTAGAATGTACTACAAACTGGTCGATGGACTACTATGTGGTCCATTTATCAAAAGTGTTAAGTTAGAAAAAAGTACTAAATTTTCCATGCCTGACTCCGGCCCTTATTTTGTTCAATAATGCAAAATATTCTTATGAACAGTCAAATTTTGTTTAAGGAAAAGAAAACATAAGTTTATTTCGTTATTTTGTTTTTAGATTATTTTTTTAATTTGATATTAATTTTGAATTTAAATTCTTCGACTTTGTTGTTGTTTTTGTGCTGTAATTTAAGTTTAGTTACTTAACTCATAAGAAAATTTAAAAAATACATATATTTTTAAATACAACACAGAGAAAAAATAATGTTTTCTTGCTTTTATATTTATTTAATAAAATTAAAATATACATATAGATAACTATATAAACTAATAATTATTAATATACATATAATAATCTTAAATTAAAATAAATTATATTTTTATTAAAACTAAAAACTGAATTAAAAGTATAAACCAATATATAAATATTTAAACAAAATAAAAAAACTCACTTTTTTAGATTAACTTGTATTACACCTTAAATTTAATAGAACAAAAAAAAAAAACAAAAGAAAAAAATAAATCAAATTTATAAGGCAAGAAAGCTTAAGTTTATTACTTTAAATAAAAATGAATATAATTATAAATATATATAAATATAATATAAAATAAATTTAAATAATTCTATATATACATATATAAAAATAAAATACAGTTTCTTAATATTTAACAAAATAAAATATTTAAAAAAATATATATATATTAATATAAATTTGAAAGATTGAAAAAAAAAACAAGTTAAATTTTAGTCCCTTATATAAATATTTTAATGTCCTAAAATAATATTAATAAAATTAATAGTCATGTAGATATGTATGTGTAACAATCAAAACAAAAAAATATAATAAATATTAACAAAAGAAAAATAAAAAATAAACTAAAAGAAAATAATTATATATTTAACATATATTCATAAATTTTTTTAAATAAAAAAAATTAATACAAACCTTTGCTAGATTTTCTTAAACTAATGCTTATACTCGATAATAATCCTACATTATAATTATTATTATACTAAATTAATAATAAAAAAATGAAAATTATAAAATTATTTATATAATAAAACAAGTCCTTATTTAAATATGTAACTGAATATGTTTTTGTTCTTTTCCTTATTTCTTTCCATAATGTAAATTATCTTATTTTGATTATTGTTTATTTGAATATGAAACTGAATTTCTTTTAGTTTTTATTTTGTTCTATATAAATTAAGAAAAATACAAATAATTTTCTATGGAAATTGTTAAGTTTTTTATTATTTTTTTAATAATTTTAATTGCATTTTCATATTTTTTTTGAAATAACGAAAACTGTTCCGGAAGTACTTTACTACGCTGCATGTTTTAAACATGCAACAATTTTAGCATTTGTTCTTAATAAACTATTACTAGAACAGGTACAAACTGAACCACTTAAGATTTTTGAACAGCTAGCATAGCACTCTGGATCTTTTTCTGTGGAACATTGTTCTGATTGTGGTTGTCGGTCCTTGATCATTGTTCGTTAAATTTTGAGTCGTTCTGGTGCAAAGAACGAAATGTTTTTTCTTGGGATTCGAAA